ACACTGTGAGCTCATCTCACCTCCCCTTGCTCTCCCCAGGGTCCCTTCTGTGTCTTTGTTTTGCCATCATCTCTTGAGTGTTAACTCCCTTGTGTGCCCTGCCAGTGAGGAGTTGCCAGTACCCACTGCCAGCACCCAGTGGCAGGGCCTCCTCTTCGCCTGCGCTCACTCCCTTGCCCCAGCCCTCACACCTGATCACAGTCTGACTTAGAGGTTATCAAAGGCTCTCACTTGGCCTGGTCTCTGGGGGCATGGCGTGCCTGCCCCTTGTCCTCCTACCAGGGTGGCTCATTGCCCCTGCATGATGCCCTGATTGGCAGGCTGAGAAGTCCTTTAACTGAGAGAAGAGGTAGCTGGCAGAAGTGTGATGAAGTGGTTCATACCCACATCCTGGGCCCAGACCTGTCTGGACAGGCAGTGCCAATGCCCCACCAGGTTGCAGAACCCCCCTCCCTCAAGAGCGTCTGAGTGCCTGACTCTGACCCTTGGGCGCTGACACCACTCCTAGCCCCTAGGCCTGAGACCTGGTTTACAGGCTTCCCCCCTCTTTCCCCTCCCTCCCTGGCAGACTCTACCTCCCTTGGCCCTGCACCCCGCCCATCATCCCTGCATCCCTACCCCCATTCCCAGCAGGAATAGCAAAGGCTCCAAGGTCCCCAAGATGCCCTGACAAAGTAATCTCAGGGAACAGCAAAAACAGGTGGACTCTGGACCATAGCACTTTTTTAACCCTTGTGTGGTCCCTTCAGAATCCTGGCTTTAGTCAGAAAAAATCGAAGATAGTGCACGTGTAGGTTGGTGGGGATCCTCCTATACAAGGAGCTCTTAGGAATGTTTGCAGTGCTGTTTCCCACACAGCTTCGTCTTCCTGGAATCAGTCAGGTCATGTTCCCAAACCAGGGCTCTCACCAGCTCTGTGACCGAATGCCCAATTCTCTGATCTTTATTTGACTCGTCTCTGAAACACGGTCATCCCCACCTCAGAGATGATACCTGTGACAGTCTCAGCCCAGGGTGGGCCCAGACACGTCAGGTGAGGATGCTCACACAGGACGAGAGGGCAGGGGGCAGCATGGCTTGCCGCCCCTCACCACCTGGGCATGCTGTGCTGCTCAAGTATGGTGACAAAGCTGAGCCACTGGTGGGTGTTGTGCCAGGAGCTGAGCTGGCCAGACTGCGGCTGCTCACGCTGAGGGATCTGTGCTGCCCTGGCGCCGCCAGTCCCAGATGGACTCACATCCACACTCGGGTGGTAGCAACTGCGTCACCTCAGGGCCTGGGTTTTGGCTCTGTTCCACCATCCACTCCCTCCATCACCCTCCCAAGGCCCCAGCCTTCCCATCTGTGAAATGAGAATAGCTCTTTGGAGAGAAATGAGTTGACGTGTGTGTAAAAGAAGTCTGGACAGAGTCAGGCATGGTGCTGCACACCTGCAATCCCAGATCTCAGGAGGCTGCGGCAGGAGGGATCACAAGTTCAAGGGAAGTCTGGACTACATAGCAAGTTTGAGGCCACCTCACTACAAAGTGAAATCCTGTCTCAAAAAGAAAAAAAGGCAAAAAATACAAAACAGTAGTTTGGAGGGGCTGGGTTTATGGTTCAGTGTTAGTGTGTGTGCTTAGCCTGCACAAGGCCCTGGATTTATTCCTAGTAACTCCCACAGAAAGTTTGGAGGAGGCATCATAAAAGGGTAGATAATACCACTTGTTTTCTGTCCATTTCTGCTTCCTCTTCCAATATTCTAGGTAATGGACCATTCGATCACTCACTTAACATGCATTCAGGTGTCTATTGTACCCAGCTCTGAGCTGGCCACTGGGCACACAGGAAAGAACTGAACTGTTTCTGCCCCTTCAGAATGTTGAGGCAGGCAAGGGAGAGGGATGACTACATTCACAAGGACAACATGTGATAAGATGCGCTAAGGAAAAGCCCAAGAGATGTGTGTGAACCCAGCCAAGGTGAGCACGCCCCTTCCAACCAGGGGAGTCCAGGAGCTTCCCTGACAAAGAAACCCCTGGGGGTCAGTCAGATGAGAGAGGAAAAGAGCAGGAAGAGAAAGGCATTTGCACAGCTCAGGGGTAATGAAGCAGCTTCATGCCTGCCTGTCTGTTAAAGAAGAAATGTGTTTGTGAGCAGGATCAGCTTTCTTGGCTCACCCTTGCTTCCTTCCTTTCTTGCTGTGGTGGGGACTGGACCCAAGGCCTAACACACGCTAGGCAAGAGCTCTGCCCCAAGCTACATTCCTAGCCAAAGGCCATTTCTCTGAATGTCTTTGCTCCCCTTTCATGGCTCAGAGGTCCCTCCTGTCTTGAGCCACAGAAATCAAAAGACCTGTGATTAGAGCCAGGAAACACTCTCTCCCCTCTACTGCCCTGGGAGACCTTGGAGTAACTGAGGAGCTGACCAGGCCTTGACCAGGACTCCAAGCTGACCTCATGCTGTGACCACCCTCCCCCAGGATGAAAAGGGCCAAGGCTCATCAATGTCTCCACCTAGAGCCTGGAAAGTGGGTATCATCAGAAGTAAAAAACAGTTGAGTCCTGGAGTGTGATGGGCTGGGAGAAAGCAAGAAAAGGGGTAAGAAAGGGGAGGGGGCAGGAAGATACCCAGTCCAGCCTGTCTGGGGTCTGGATGGCAGGAGGCTGAGTGATGCACTTCTGCTCCCCATCAGGGGGATCTGGCTCCCCCGTGACATACACAGACCCCTAATCCTTGTTCCTGAGACCCTTCCTGATCTAAGCATTCGAGTGCCGCATAGCTCCCAGCCTCTAAGCACTTGGGAGCTGGGATTTTAACCCCTGTAGTCTGACGGTGGTTGGTCAAGGTGCTTACTTCTCTAAGCCTATTTCATCGTCTCTACTCTTGAGATTTTTTTTGTTTCTTTTTTTTCAGACAGGGTCTTGGTATGTAGTTCAGGCTGGCCTTGAATTCACTATGTAGCTCATGATGTCCTCGAACTCACAATGATCTTCCTGCCTCGGCCTCCCAAAGGCTGAAATATAGGCCTGTGCCACCACGCCCAGATTGTTGATAAAATGGGAAAATAAGAGCTTCTACTTCTTTGTTTGGAGGATCAAATTAGCAAAAGGTGCTGGGCCAGGCTAGACGGCACATGCCTGTACTCTTAGCTACTGGGGAGACTAAGGCAAGAGGATTCATTTTCAGTCCAGCCTGGTAAAGCCTTGTCTCAAAATAAAAAATGAAAAGCACCAAGGATATAGCTTAGTGGTAGAGCACCTGCTCGGCACCCACAAGTCCCTGGGTTCAATCCCAGTACTACTGAAAAAGAAGAGTAGGGGAGAGGACAAGCAGGAACGGGAACTATTTGAGACCAGTTTGCTTCTCTGGGTGGGCACCCCTTCCTCTTACCTGTATTTGCAAGTACCCAGCTCTAGGCTGGGCCCCTCAGTGTGAGAAGAAGGTGAGTGTCTCACATGGCAGGAGAAGGAACGTGGCTCTCACTAGAGCCTCTGCCTTTCTGGGAATGGGGCTGGAGAACTGATCCCCTAGCGTGGTCCCTGCCCTCCCCAAGCCCTGTGGGTTCCCCAACTGCTCCTTCCTAGACAGCTGCTGTAGTGTGAGATGGAAGCAGACGAGTGCGGCGGTGAGGCTGGGGCCTGCTCAGCCCTGGCATGGACGGACTACTTCAGCAGGAGGTGGAAGGTGAACAGCAGGACATGGGGCTCAGGCTCCACCCTCCCCTCCTTCCAGCCCATCTCAGGCTGGTGCACTCCATGGAGACATCCTCAGCACTGCACCACCACCACAGCACAGTCCAGGGCCTCCTCCAGCCGCCAGCAGGTTGAGCAGGGTACTGGACAGGGAGCTACAGGAGACACAGCCTTGTCCTGTTCCCCCCAACAGCAGTGAAGAGGCAGCAGAAGAAATGGTCTGAGGACTGAGGCACAGTGGTATGTCCCTCCTGGGCCAGTCATAGTTCCTAGCCGGTAAACAACGGCAGAGCTCTTCCGTTCAGCACAGGTAAGAGCCTACCCTGGTGCGTGAGCGTGAAGATGCTACCAAGCACACTCAAGGCCACCTGGGAAGCTTGACTTGGTGAGGGATTCAGCTCTGGACTTCCCGCTACAGCGGCCCCCAGCTCTAGTAGGCTCCAGACTGCAGGCTCTGCTCTGAGCTTTGGACTCATGTCTGGGCTCAGCTGCTGAAGGGGCCAAGTTCTAGAATCTAAGCTAAGATTTGAAATTCCACCTGGGATTCTGGCGCCAAGCTGGTCAGGTGCTGTATTCTAGCTATAGGACCCTACAGTCAGCTCTGGGCTCAGGCTCTGCCCTCTCCTTGGGTGGTCACAGCTTCCTACCTGCCTGCTGTCTTACAGACAAAGTAAGACAGTGGAGAAGGACATTCTTTAGTTACTCTTTCAGTGTATCACCTCAGGCCTGACCAAGCCATGTGATTGTCTGGGTCCGGAGGAAGTCTAGCAAAAGCATTGGTGGAAGGGAAAAGACTGCAGAACCTGTGTTCTTGTGGAAAGCCGCGAGGTCAACACTAAATGCTTTGCCTGAAGGAATGATAACACGATGGCTAAGTCAAGTCTCGAGCCAGGGATATAGCTCAGTGGCACAAGCGCCTGCCTGGCAAGAGCAAGGTCCTGAGTTTGATTCCCAGTACCAAAAAAAAAAAAAAAAAAAAATTCCTAAATCAAGTCTCATTCCTATTGAGTTGTATCATCCTTACTAAAATGGTTGATATCCTCCCATTGACCCAGCTGCTTCCTTTGTTCTTTCTCAGTAAAAGGTTACTGAAAATGGTAATCAGGGGTGCAGTCTGAGAGGCTGCAAGCCCCCTGATCCCAGAATTATGCCTCTCTTTTTTGTCTTGTTTGTCTTTTTTTCCTTTTGTCTGTGGCACCTCGTTCTCGGGACCTGTCACCCCTGGACAGAAACAGAATGTAGACCAACAGCAGGAGCTGCAGACCCTGGAGGAAAGGTGTCTATTTCACACAAGACACACTCTTCAACAAATAAGGTAGATTTCTGTAAAAATGAATGTATGTGTGCCTTTATTTTAGGGTCAAGAGAGAACTGGGAAGAAAAGCTGTAGGCCCCAGTGCCATAGGGTGAGTGACAAGCCCCCACTGCGTAGCACGTGGCTGTACCTGAGGCTCCTGCTGCCAGGGTGATGGGCTCTGGTCCAGGGCTGGGAAGGGTCCTGCTTACATCCACCCTACCCCAGCACCTTGGACTCCAGCGGTGCCCCTCACCCCGTCTTCAGGGGGACAGATGAGAAATTTTCACTTGGCAGATGGAGGAACACACCTAGTGCAGAAGAACAAGAATGGCAACCTGAGCAGGATGGTGGGTCAGGTACCTGGAGGGGAGGGGAGGGTGCAGGTGGGGGAATTTGTCATAGGGCGAGTCCCAACATTAATCCTCTCCACTCCTCTCCTCTCTTCTCCTCTCTACCCAGCCTCACCTCCCGAGCGGGACCGTGTCCTTTGACTCCATCCAGGGCACACAGGAGACCTGACCTCTCCTATCAGCTTCTGACCCCTGAGCCCAGCCCAACAGCCCCACCCTGGAAGGTGTCCCTGACTTCTGTGTGGTGCAGAGGGGACAGTGGGAGGGGTTGCTAGGCCGGAACGCCTGCATAGAAGGCAGAAGACTGGAGGTCACCCCTCCTCTGTGATCTCACTATGAGGAGGACCAAGACCACTTGGAGCAAAGTTTCATTTAGGAGAAGGAGAAAGAGTAACAGTGATCTGGTGGCAGCGAGGCACAGGTTCAGGCAAGTCAAACACGAGCATCCTAGTAGAGGACCCCGACCTGGCTCCCCATGGAGCTGTCACCAGAGGGTGGGCAGGGGCCGTGGTGGCACTAAGGGCTGCTCTTTCCTGCAGAGCACCATGCACCATCACTTCAGCCGGCCACAGGAGCAAGTGCTCATCAACCGCCAGGATGTCGTAAACAAAAAGGTGGGGATGGATGGGGGTGGGATCAGCAGCGATCCTCTACACTCATCCTACACTCCAAGGTCTCCAGCTACTCCTACTGTAGAGCAGACTCAGGACACCTTTTCCCCACCATTCACTGAGAGCAAAAGTCCAGACAGAGGACACAGTGCCAACACCTGCCTGAAAGAAGTGCTCCGCCCTCCCCCAGGACTCGTGGGACAAACAAGAGTTCATTCGCATGTCCATCCAATACATGCTGCAACATCCGGCCTTCCAGCTGCTCCTGGCCGTGCTGCTGGTGACCAACGCCATCACCATTGCACTCCGCACCAACTCGCTCCTTGACCAGGTGGGACGCAAGCCCAACCTCAGCCCCCATTGGCTCTGATGGGGATGGGGCAGGCGCTTCCCCCTCTGGTCCTTGATGGTTGGTCGGGTGATCTTCAAGGGTCAGTCCTGTCTGAACTTTTGGGGATCTAGAGGTCAGGAAGACTGGTGGAGGGGACTCTGGAGCCCAAATTGAGGAAAACATAGGATTTGTACAGGGCAAGAGAAGAATGGTGGGAACAGAGGCAGACAAAGGGGCACCTTGTGGCAGTGATGGCCAGTCTTTATCACAGTCACTGAAGGAGAGTCATTCAGGCCAGGTGCTGACTCTGCTTGGTGCCAAGGATCCAGGTAAAGAACACAGACCCAATTCCTGTCTCAGACAGATGCAGACACACTATTACAGTGCCTGCGTATCAGAGCGTGTGGAGTTTAATGACAACAATCACACCTAACCTGGGAGGTCAGGGAAGGCTTCCTGGAGGGGGGCACTTAAACAGAGTAAAGGACAGGAAACTGGGTATGGTGTTGCACGCCTGTAGCCCAGCACTGAGGAGGCAGAGGAGAGAACGGTGAGTTCCAGTCAGCCTGGGCTACGGAGTACAGAGTCAGCCACACAAAGTGAGATGATGAAGAGGAAAAAGTGCTTTGGACAGGAGAAACAGCATGTGAGAGAGTTCTGTGTGTCCAATTCAAAGTCCAGTGACTTCACTCTTACTGATGCTTTTTTTCCTTTTCTTGATGTTTTAATTTCTTACAAAGAGTATACACACATGTACTGTGTGATTTAAAATCAATATGTCAGCCAGGCGTGGTGGTACACACCTGTAATCCCAGCACTCGGAAGGCTGAGGCAGGAGGATCTCTGCAAGTTCTAGGCCAGCCTGGTCTATAAAGTGAGTTCAAGGCCAGCCTGAACTGCATAGTGAGACTCTGTCTCAGAAAGACAAAAAATCAAATCAAATCAAATAAAAATGTCAGCCCGGGGTGTAAGCTGGCAGTAGAGTGCTTGCCTGGCATGCACAAAGCCCTGTGTTTGGTCTCCTGTGATAGGTGCCAGATCACACTGGTGGGTCTTTCTGTGATGTCAAAACAGACGACCTCTCTCCCTCAGCAGCAGAAACCCAGGGAGGGTGCAAAGCACTGAAGTGAGATGCATAGGTCATGTCTTAGGAAACTTACAGCAGCTGCCGTGATGTGGACTCTAAAGGGGCTGCTGGGAATGGCCTGGGAGGGACGCCACTGCAGACGTGCCCGTGAGGGATGCTGGGGCTTCAAGCAGGATAATGGCAGTGGAGAAGAAGATCAGAAGCCCTAGCAGCTCTCTAAGGTTGAATCCATGAGCTTTCCTGATTGGTCAGATTCTTGGCTTGCATGTAGTGAGCACAGACTATGCCACCTTGTGTCAACAACATGTGTCCTCACCTCAGGCCTGCAGACAAAGGGAGGCAGGAAGGTAAGTTCCTGACTGAGTCGTGGTGGGGCTGGTGCTGCGGGGGTGGGGTGGGGGTGGGGCACACAGGAGGAAAGGCAGGAGACGCAGGGGCCAGGGTGAGCTGTGTATGTCTCGGTGCCTGTGCATGTCCGCAGAGAGAGGTCTTGAGAAGACTCTAAGGCTAGGGCTGAAGGGGAACACACGAGAGTTGTCTACACTCCCGTGCCCAGGCTGAGGAGGGGACACAATGGCCTGTGGAGTGTTGATGTGAGAGAAGAGGGCCAAGACAGATCCAAGGAAACCACATAAGGGGCAGGAAGGGAGGTGGAGGCAGAAAAGGAGGCTGAAGAGAAGTGGCCAGGGGCCCATGGTGTTGGGACAGCCCAGGAGGGACAGCCCAGGGGAGACACCCAGGCAGCAGGGCCACATGGGGCGAGATGCAGCCGATGGGACCAGGAACATCCTCCACATTTGGTCCACTGAGCAGCACTGGAGCCAGTTTTGTGTGATGGAGGCAGAAACGCACCTGCCGAGTTTGCAGAATGAGCAGAGTGGGCAGAGGGGAACAGAGCAGAAGCTGCGATGGGCTGTGAAGTCAATCCAGAGCACAAATGCCAGCTTCGTTTTGTTTTGTTTTTGAGACAAGGTCTCACTGTATAGTTCAGGCTGGGCGTGAATTCACGATGTAGCCCAGGCGATGCTTGAGCTTGCTAAGTAGCCCAAGCTAGCCTTGAGCTTGTGATTCTCCTGCCCCAGCCTCCTGGCTGCTGGGGTCACAGTCATGTACCACAACACCCGGCAAGAAGGTCTTTCTCAGGGCTCGTAGCTATGGTCACTAACAGTGCTTTGGGAGCTTGAAAAAAGCAGAAAGCCCATAGGATTAACCGCATCTAAATAGAAGAAGCTCTGAGCAGCCTGGCATCAACTGTGGGTGGGGTGGTGGCAGGCATGGGCAACAGGGAAGCCCCATGTGCAGTAGTGAGCTCGCAGGGACCAAGTCTGTTGGCCACCATGAGTAAAGGGAGGAGATGAGCCAGACATGGTGGATCATGCCTGTGATCCCAGCACTCTGGGAGACCGAGGTAGGAGGACTGCAAGTTCAAGTGCAGCCTAGGCAATTTAGCAAGAGTCTGTCTCAAAATAAAAACTAAAAGGGGCTGAAGATGTAGCTCACAGGTACAGTACTTGCTGGTTTGATCCCCAGTACCACCACAACAAAACAAAACAAACCCATGAGAGGAGTCAAAGTAACTTTGATGATACTGGGTTGAAATGGGCAGGGGAGGGTAACAGGCTTTTAATAGAGGTCACAGCTACAAGGAAGCTGAAACTTGGGTTTGGACAGACCCTAGTAGTTGTCTGCCCAGGATACCTGTTCTGGGCCAGTATAAGGAGGAGGACACCAGGAGCTGGGTCAGGCCTGGCCGGGGCACTCAGGGTGCTCAAGCAACAGGTGTGGTTGGGACACACCGAGAAGGGCTGCGTTCCCCAGCCACAGGGTGAGGCTGCTTCCTCCCACAGCCAGGCCTGCTCAGCATCCTATACCCCACTTCCCCGGATCCTCCTGCCCTAGAGGCTGAGGGCAATGGGAGCAAAGGTCTTTGGTCAACAGCAATCTTTTCTGACCATCTGTGTGCACTGGACTCCTCTCTAGTCCCTGTCTGGAAGATAGGAGTAGAATCTGGTTTTTTTGTTTGTTTGTTTTCTGGCTACAGAGTCTCCCTATGGAGATCAGGCTGGCCTTGAACTCACAGAAATTCTCCTGCCTCAGCCTCCTGAGTGCTATGATTATAGGCATGTGCCACCATGCTCTGTTGGGACCCGCTTTGCAGGACAATACTGACAATCACATGAAGCAGTGCATGGATGGTCTCAGCACAGGGCCTGGGGTTACAGGGAACTTGCTCCAAAGGGAGCAAAAGAGGCCCTGGGAGGAGCAGCAGCAGGGACACAGGTCTCCCCTCCCTGCAGAGGACCTGTCCTTGCTTGGCACAGGTCTTGATCACCAATGCCCCGCACCTCTTTCCCTCCTCCTCTCGCTTAGAAACACTATGAGTTGTTCTCAATCATAGACAACGTTGTGCTGACCACCCTCATCTGTGAGGTTCTCCTCCGTTGGCTCAGTGGCTTCTGGATTTTCTGGAAGGTGAGATTCTGTGACCTCCCTTTGCCCTTACTCTCCCTGAGGGTTAACCCACCTGAGAGCTTTCTGTATGCGGGGTGGAAGAATGAGAGAAAGTGGAAAGAGGGAAGAGAGGAGAAAGAGAGGGAGAGAATTTCTGAGATGTCTGCAATGCAGTAGAACATGGATTCTAATTCCAAATCCTCTCTCTGGCCCCCAGGTCTGCAGTCAGGTGAACCCTGATTTCTGTAGCTGAGAAATAGGTCGGATAGGGTTCTGGAGCAGCAGTCAGCAAATTTCTGCAGTCCACCAGAGAATAAATATGATGTGTGGCCAGCTCTATATTCTCTGTTGCAGCGACCCCCCTCTACAGGGACCACAAAAGTGTTCACACAGCACACACACGTCGGAACATAGCTGCATCCAACACAGCTGGGGAAGATGTTTTTTGTTGTTTTGTTTTTTGAGATGGGGTCTCACTGTGTTGCCCAGTTGGCCCCAAACTCATGGGTTGCAGTGATCCTCCTGCCTGAGCCTCTAGAGTAGCTGGAAATACAGGTGGATGCCACCATGTCCAGTTCTGTTCTAATAAAGCTTTATTCATGGGCACTGAACTTTGAATTTCCTATAATCTCCACATTTCAAAAGGAAGACAGGCAGATGTTGTGTATGTGTGCGCACAGTGGCATATAAGAGGTCAGGGTGCCTTGAATTTATTGAGCTGCCCCCAAACTTTAAGAACATTTTTCCCATTAAAATACATTTTTTTAGGCCAGGCATGGTGGCGCACACCTGTAATCCCAGCACTCGGGAGGCTGAGGCAGGAGGATTGTTGTGAGTTTGAGACCAGACTGGGCTACAAAGTGAGTTCAAGGCCAGCCTGACCTGCATAGTAAGACCCTGTCTCAAAAAGACAAAAAAAA